TATTTTTGGGTGGAAATTTTTTTTTTTTTTTTTTTTTTTTTTTTTTTTTTTTTTTTGGATCAAAAGGGCAGCAAAGATAAATTTTTTTTTTTTTTTTTTTTTTTTTTTTTTTTTTTTTATCTAACATGTCCTTTCCTTATCTTGTTCTGTGGATTTTTATGATTTTTTTTTCTCAAGACTTTCTTCCTCAAGACTCTGTAAAAAAATATTCAACAAAAATTGAAAAGTGAAGAGTGCCAGGTATGGTAAGACAGAGCCTGGAACACCTCGACTTTAATCTCTTTCTCAGGATTTTAAGAAAATAATTCCTATGACAATAGTGTCAATACTTGCCGAAAGTCTTAACATAGGGTATACACATTCTCGGAGGGCGAAAGGGTCGGGGTAAGGGAAACTGGAGCGGTGACCAAGCAACGGTGCGCAGAACATGGAAGTTCGGGCCACGGCGTACTACGGGCGGGACAGGGATTTCGCAGTAACCGTACATTGGAGGACTAGGCGGGCCTAGATGTAAAGCTAAGGTTAAACATGGCAAACGGATTCAAAAAAAAAACGACTCATATCATTAACTTCGAACCCATAACCGTTAAATAAATAATAAGCCAAGTTGAAAGTGAAAAAAAAAAATTGTCTGGTTTGATACTTTACCCGAAAACCATTCAGGTTCTTCGGCCTCAAATCTCCTTCTATCGATGGAATATCTTGGCAACAATCGGTCGCGATCTCTAACCCTCGGATCCGATCTTATGTCTTTATCTCGGGAAAGAGATTCGCGAGACACATCACGCACCACTTCTCTTTCCGAAGTCATACCAGAATAATTTCGTCGCACGTCATACCTAGAAAAAATCAATTTTTTTTTAATAATTAAAATACAATCAATCAACCTAAATTTAAATTTATAAAAAAAAAAAAATTATAAAAAAACGTGCCTTTCATCTCTTTCCCTTGGGCTAGGACCAACAGAAGGCCTATAAGGATACCCATCATCTGCATTTTCCTTATCTCGATACTCCCAATCGCGATTGATTATTCGTCCACTTCCTATTCGTCTTACGGGGCCCTCTTTTGTGGATTCCGCAGGAGGACGAACAACAGAATTAGGAGCGACCGTTACAAAACAACCGGAATTGAAACTTCGCCTTTGAGGACTAAGAACGATTCCGTCTTGTTCTTTTCGAACTCGTTCTCTAGGATCCGTTATGCGTCTCGGAGGGTAGATGAGCTAAAAATAATTAAAATATATTTTATTTAAAAAAAAAAAAAAAGAAAGAAAGCAAATTAAACTCTGACAGGGTTTAGGGAAAATTTTTCGAACCTTATAGGAATCATCACCCCTGTCCGTGGGAGTATCGGAACGTTTACAATTGTTCCAACCCCCAGATTTTAGCCAACAATAAAGATTGAAAATGTTTGGATCGTTTATTATCGGCCTTTGACGGGACAGAGGGTGATCCGAATATTTCAGTAATTCTTCTCTCGAATACTGATAATCGGGCTTGTAAGGAGGTTTTCCATCACCTCCACCTTCTATTTCTCCTTCTTCCAAATGATCCTTTTCAGTTTGAGGGTCCATTTCTTTATCTTGAAAAAAAAAAAAAAAAAAAAAAAAAAAGAAATTGTACTTTATTACCAACTTAAAAACATGTGAGAGTTAATATGGGCAACAGGGACACGATTTTTAATATAAAAAAAATTTTTCAATTTGAGCAAAACAAAACAAAAACATCTGAAAAAATTGAGAATTTAAATTTCCTAGTAATTTTTTAACGTCAAAAAAATTTATTTATTTATTTATTATTTTATTAAAATCAAATTTAAAAATTCGTTATATTATTATTATATACATTTATATTTATTATAAAATAAATTAAGGAAACATATATATATATATAAACAATTGCCATTTTTTTTTTTGTTTTTATGAACTTCAAACTTTTTTTAAATGGAAATAAAAATAAAAAAAAATAGTGGAGCATCATGGCCTAACATCATTCGTTCATTTTTTACGTGACTAACCTTTTTCTAAATCGGCAACCATTAAAATCCCGCGAGAGAGAGAGAGAGAGAGAGAGAGAGAGTGAGAGAGAGAAAATTAAAAAAAAAAAAAAAAAAAAAAAAAAAAATAATAACTTAATAAAAAATTATTTTCGGATTATTATAATTTCTTTTGAGTTGACACAATACTGAATCACAAAGCATGAAAAATGATTGGGCTGCTTTTATTTTCTTTTATTTTTTTCACTCCTATCCTAACCTATTATTCAACGAAAACCGGGAAAAAAAACAAAAAGATTCACATGAAAAAAAAAAAAAAAAAAAAAAAAAAATTATCATCAATTGTTTCCAATGCAACGTTTTTCAATGGAATTTAAAAGTTCTAGAATGAAGATGTCGAGAAAAAAACGAACAAGTGGAATCATTGGAATACAGGGTGTTGTTAGTATTTTAAAACTTTTAACAAAAAAAAAGCTCTTTCATTCCATCTTTTTTTTTTTTTTTTTTTTTTACCACGGTGAAAGGAATTTTTTTATTTTTATTTTTATAATTACAACACAAAATTTATATATATATATATATATTTTGCATTAAATTTTTTAAACTGATCACTCATCTGTTTTAATATAAATGTAAATCTTCAAAGCCTCCAAAAACATTCTCAAGAGTTTCCCCCATTTTTTTTTTCCAATAGAAAATAAAGAAAGCTCGGCTCAATTATCAAAAAAAATTTTTTATTCACATGAATGATTTTAAATACTAATTGAAATATTATGGCCTACAGGAATATAATCATATTCTGTATGATTATTTAAAAAAAACATTCTAAAATTAATTTTATTGCCCTTAATAGAATTAAATATATTTCAGTAATCTAACAAAAAAAAAAAAAAACGTAGTGACGAAACGACGAAACAGGATTTTGGCAAGTTTTGACAATCATTATTTTTTTTCCTTTCTTTCTTTCATTCTTTTTTTATAAATAATTATAATTGTTAGAGAAATAAAGGGGGAACTTTGGAGCAAATATACAAATTTTAAATTATGTGAATTCACAAAAGTTTGAACAAGTTATCGAATGTTGCTTTTTATTTTTCATCAAACCTTTTTCTTTTTTTTTCCAATAACGAAATTTTGTTCCTTTCAAAATCAAATGCTATAAATATGCTCCACCAATCAAATTATTATTATTATAAAATTGATAGTAATTTAAAAAATAAATAATTACTAACAAATAGCCATAGCCAATACTGTTCTTTAACTTGAATGATCCATAATTTTTATTTTCATTAAAAAGATTCGTTTTAAATAATATTTTTATTTAACAGTAAATTTTTCAAATAACTTTTAATAATAAAAAAAAAAATTAAAAATTTTTTAAACCTTTATAAAAAATAATAATAATAATAAAGTAAGATTTTGTTTGTTTGTTTGAAAAATTAACATTTTGTCACTAATTAATTACTCGAGTAACTTTCTTGAAAGTTCTTACTTCTTGCTTAAAGATTGATAAAAAAGACTAATATTAATTTACTAAAAATTACATACCTAATAAGAAAAACAACATTGAATGTAAAAATAGAAACAAATAATTTAAATATACACAGAGAATATTTAAATTAAAAACAAGAATCAATTAAAGTTTCATGTAATTATACAATATTGCAGGAACAAACATGAAAACAAACTGAGCCATATAAACGAATTTTTCTGAAAATATTTTTAAAAAATCAGCTATTTTTTTTACCTATACAAAATTATTTAAAAATTTAAAAAAAATAAATTACAAATTATAATTAAATATATAATATATATAAAATTAGGTACTGTATATTTTGTTATTTTATTTTTATTCAATTTACTTTAGCTCTGAATTTAAAAGAATATTTTCAAATTAATAACTTATTTTTAAATTTTTTAATTTTTGTTTGAAAATCATTTTATATTAAATTTTTAACAGACAATTAATAAAAAAAATTTCATGTTTTTTTGAAATTATTACTCATTGTTTCTAACTAACTTGAATGAAAAAGACAACGCTATAATGTCACGTTTGCATATAAAAAAATTATTTTATTAAATGAGCATTTATAATAGAGAAAAAAAAGTTATGTAAAATAAAAAAAAACGATTTTGAAATTTATCAAAATTTTGTCAAATTTTCAATTAATTTACGTTAATTATTATTTTGTACAGGAGCATTAAAAAGACTCCATAATGGAAAATCATAAACAATAAAAATCAAATGGCGTGTAATATATCACAAGAAAGTAAAAAATAATTCATAAATTATTTTTTAATGCTTACCAGACTTGACTATATCATCTTTTTCTTTGTCTTTCATAACCAAATCAACAACCAACATTGCTTAAAATCTTAAAAAGTTCTATTACAATTTCGTAAAACTTGTCTACGTATTTTTGGCCTTATTTGAAAAGTATCACAGATATTCTGATTTTAGTTCCGATTACACTAATATTAAAAAAATTTAAATTAAAAAAAAAAAAACACTTACACTACACAAAATAAATCACTTATTTTCATTCTTTTCAATAATCACAGATAAAATAGAAAGCTCAAAAAATAACGATTGCAAAAAAGTAAATGTCGGCCATTAAAAAAAAACCAACTTATTACCAGAAATTTTATACAAGGAAAAGAAGCGAAAACAGAATGATATAAAACGGTTGTTTGTTTCAAGCTTGCGTTTTTTCGCGAAAAAAGGCCTTTTTTTGTACAATACCATTAATTTTAAAATGGCGCTTATTTATAGGATTAAGAAAATAAATACGGTTCATATAATTCTTTTTGTTAAGCACTTTTTGTGAATTTTTTTCTCAGTACATTTTTTTCAAAATTTATTTTATGTATTCATATTTTAAATAATATTAAATAATATAATGCAACAATCTCTTCGAAAAAGTTACAGTTTAACCAAACATTCTTGTCCCTTTTTATTAAGTAAAAGAAAATTATCTTCTTCGAATATTAAAAATAAACAAAATGAAGAATTTTCTTCAACTTATAAAATAAAAAATCAATTCGGTTTCGAAAAAGTGCAATCAGACGAAAAGCAAAATAGAGGTATTCAAATATCATACAAAAATAAATAATATGTATGTGTATATAAATACACACATTGTCCGAATCCTTTTTTTTTATTTTTCCCATTTATTTTTAGTTGACAATGTTTTTAAATCTGTGGCCGATAAATACGATTTAATGAACGATGCCATGAGTTTTGGAATCCACAGAATTTGGAAAGATATTTTTGTAGAGCGATTATCACCTACCGGTGGCACTAAATTACTTGACGTAGCCGGTGGCACTGGAGATATCAGTTTTAGGTTCCTCAGATATGTACAAAAAAAATCACCTGAGAGTTTTGTAAGTGTTTGTGACATAAATCCTAAAATGTTAGAAATTGGAAAAAGTAAATCGATGAAGTTAGATTATTGCAAAAACAGAATGGAATGGGTAGAAGCAAATGCTGAAGAACTTCCTTTTAAAGACAAAACTTATGATGCATATACAGTAGCCTTTGGAATTAGAAATGTGACTGACATTAATAAAGTATTGGATGAAGCCTACAGAGTTTTAAAACCAGGAGGAAGATTTTTGTGTTTAGAATTTAGTGAAGTTAATAATGAATATTTGAAATGGTAAGTAAATATAACTTTTATTAAAAATTCCTTCTAATGAATTAATATTAATCACTCTTTTTTTTTTTTTTTTTTCAGGTTGTACGATCAATATTCTTTTCAAGTAATTCCAGCACTAGGAGAACTCATCGCAGGAGAATGGAAAGCTTATCAATATTTAGTCGAAAGTATTAGAAATTTTCCAAATCAAGAAAGTTTTAAAGAATTAATAGAAAATGCAGGTTTCAGAATGGTTACTTATGAAAATTTAACATTTGGAGTAGTCGCCATACATTCAGGTTTTAAATTATAATATCTAATAATAATATTGTAAAAATGTAAAAAATTATCTGCTTCATTGAGTGAAATGTTATCGCAGTTACTACTCGACAATGATTAGCCATATTTAATCCCAATTTCATTGTCTATAATTTACTGTGAGGCTTTTTTTTTTTTATAAAAAATTTCTATTTAATTTTTATAAGCTCACACCGATAATCACATAGTCAAAAATATTTATTGTATTTTTTTTTTTTACAGTGATAGATTATCTGTAATTATATTAATAAAAAAATCTTTTTTATTTAAAATTTTTGAGCAGTTTTATATTTCTTTTAAATATGATTCAATTATTATTATCTTCTTGAAAGCTTATTTGTAAAATTATTATATTTTAGTTTAATAAATGATTAAAACTAGTCGATATTTAATCAATTGATTATGACTTTAATCGAAACAAAAATGATAACGGAATCAAATGTCTGATATTGTTTTCCTTCACAACAACAGAATAAAAAATTTTTTAATTGAAAAGTTATTATTATTATGGATGAGAGAGAGAACATGGAAAATTATTTGAGGTTAATTTAAAAATTATACTTGTATGTATCGATTGAAGAATTTATTTTTGCCATTTGTAAATTTTTATTTTTTTTATTTTTTATTATTATTAAACTTACAAACCTTTTTAAACAAAAAGTTACACATCATCTATTTATATATATATATATATATATATATATATATATATATATATATATATATATATGTTATCACAAGCCAGTGATAACAGAACAAAAAGATTTTATTAAGCCAAAAACTGGTAAAAATTTTTCATTTCTGTAAGAAAATTATTCGATAATCTTTCTGTAATTTTTTATTAAGGTTTGTTTGTTATGCCTGAACCTACTCCTTTCATATTTGAATGTTAAAATTTAAATAAATATTTTTTTTTTGTAAAATAGATGATGTATAACTTCCATAATTAAAAAAAGAAAGAAAAAATTTACACAAATATCTACAAGAATATCATAATTAAATAATTGAAATTAAAAAAAAAAAAAAAAGATAGACGAGAGATAGACCAAGTAAAATATAAAATAATTATTATTATTATTATTATTTTACCCTTTTTTTTGTTAAAAAAAAATTACAATCAATTTTTTTTTTAAAATAATTTAATTTTATATAATTATTATATGATAATTACATTCATTTTATAATATTTTTTTTCTCAAGTTAAAATTAAAAAAAAAATTATATATATATGTATAAAGTAAATTTATTTACAAATAATAGACGTGTGTAAAAAAAAAAAAAAACTTAATTTTCAGCAGCAGCAGCAGCAACAGCAACACCAACAGTAACTAATTGCTGATTTTAGGAATGTGCAACTTCCTACAATCCATTTTATAGAAATATTAATACATACATAATGCGTGTGGATGTGCTTTCCAAAAATTTTTTTTTATTCGATTAAAAGAAAAGGATAGAAATAAGTATGTGTGTGAGTGTGAGCGTGTGTGTGAGTACATATATATATATAAATAATAATAATAATAAAATACATTTAAAGCCATGTGTTTAATAATAATAATAATAATATAACCGCTTCTTTATTACTAGTAACTCACACCTATTAGTAATTATCTATTAACTAAATAAAAAAAAAAAAAAACATAACTAATAATTATTATTATTATTTATTTATTATTAAAAAAAAAACTTATAATTTTTACAAATTAATTAATTAATTATTTATTTATTGAAATTTATTTATTAATCGTGTGCAGTAAAGCAGCGAATGGCAGTCGGTGGGAAGTAAATTAAAGAAAGAAAATTAATAATAATAATAATTACGGTAATAATAAAATTAAAGCTTACTGTCACATTCATTCTGTTTTATTTAAATATATATAAAAAATTTATTTATTTATTTATTGATAATGTGTACGAGAAATGATCCTGCCATTTCAAATTAAAACAAACAAAAAATCATCATCATCATCATCATTATTATTATTAATTAATTTAAATAATTATTTTTAATTATATAATAATCTATTTTTTTTTATATAAACTTTTTGATTCATCATATAATATATTTCATTACCTTGCGATCACCATATAAAAAAAAAAAAAAACACAAAAAAAATTACAATAATAATAATAATTTAAAAGTGTTTAAGAGTGACCATAATAATAATAATAATAATTCCAGTAGTATAATTATATATATAATTTAATGCGGAGGCAGTATAGTATTAAATGTGTACAAAATCACATTGGCAGCAATATTAAAAAAATTATTATTATTATTATTATTATTATTATTATTAGTATAACATAATGTTAAATTACATTTACCTTTTTGCATATCATATTCATTAGTTTTATTATTATTATTATTATTATTACGATTCATTGTAATTATAATTAAAAAAAAAAATAATTAAGAGAACCACCGACGTACCCAATTAATTAATTTATTTATTTATTTATTCACCACCGAGGGGGTGGGGGTGGAGGGGGAAAAGAAACACTTTTGCTGCCAAAACCGCAACAACCCCTACACACACACACATCAATGCCACATTATATATAATAATAATAAAAAAAAAAAATAACAAAAGAAGGTAACTTTCCTTTTTTTTTTTTTTTTTCTTTTTATATTAAATGACTTTCATACTTATGTGCGCAAAATAAAAAAAAAAAATATATATATATATATAAAGCAACGAATTTTTTTGAAACTTTTTTTAAACCGAAAAAAAAAAAAAAAAAAAAAAAAAATGGCGGTTTAAAATTATTTTTTTAAAATATATATTTCTACATCATTCTTTTATATATATATATATATATATAAATGTATATACGTTTGCATGAGATTGTGTTTTATTATTTTTCTTTTATTAAAAAAAAAAAAAAAACTTATAATGTAATTAATTAATTAATAATAATAATAATAATAAACGTTTGTTGATGATTGAATTGCGCAGCAGTAGAAACGTTTTTCTACTAATCATAATTTACATGCAACAACAGA